GGCTTCCCCCTCTTTCCTTGTGAAACTTGACCCGAGCTTGCCTTCAGATGAACTGTTCAAGGGACCGAGCAGAGCCCTCCAGAATAATCGAGGGAGATCTCAGACTGAATGTACGCGGCTCTACCCACTATCTCGCAAGTTGAAATACAAGCCATCTCGGCAATACTTCAAACTTGGCCCGCGCCACATCCACAAGCTGAAGGAGGGCATGAGGCCTTGAGGCCTGGCCCCCATTAGCTCACAATTTCGAGGTCTGTTTGAGGTCTGTCCTCAATATTGCTCCTAGACTATTGAAAATTCCAGATCTAGAGGCTAGTTCAAGCCCGGACAGAAGTTCAAGGGCCTGTCGAATGCCCTGGGCTGACGAGTGAATGTTGTGGATACGTCCTGCAAGACCTATATCTCTACGACCTTCACGGCGAAGGCCATAAGATGCAGATTATGGCAGTCAGGCAGTGAGTCCTTCTTACCTTTTTGCTGACTACAAGCTCACGAAAGTTACCGTCCCTTAGAGACACCAAGGATTCAAGAGTTTTGTCGCGCAACACGACCACCTCCGCCGTGGTGACATAATCGCTGTCGCCGTCGCCCCGGGACGCGCCAAGAAGGGCCAGCTCTCGACCATTCTTTCGGAAAGAATTCTCTTTGCCCGGAACCTTTACCAGCCGCCCCCGGGCCACTTCGGTCTCAAGGACTAGAAAATTACCTACCGCAAAGCGCTACTTGAACCTCGTCCTCGACAAGGGCACAAGCGCACCTCCATCGCCCATCGTCGGATCCTTCAACTACATTTGCCGATTTTTCGATAGCCTCAGCTTTCTCGAGGTCGAGGCGCTGACGATAAGCACAACTCGGATCGCTGATGGCGCGACTGCGAAGCCGTTCACGCACCACCACGACTTCGGCCTCAACTTGTACCTCCGCATCGTCACTGACAGTCTGGACCGGGCGTGCGAAATCGGGCGAGTGCTCCGTATCGAGAGCATCGATGTAGCGCACAACCCCCGAGTTCTGCATGGCGCACACGGACATGCACGACATCATGAAGATCGACGAGAGCTTGATCGACATTCTTATGAAGCACTTAACGGGCGAGAAGACAATAGTGACGTTCCACCCCCACGGCAGGAACAGCGAGAACGCGCTTGGGCTGGACTTCAAGCGGCCGTGGCCGTAATACGACATGATCACGACGCTGAAAAAGAAGCTCGGGATGAAGTTTCCGGGTTCCTGTGCGAGCTGTTGCAGAAGGTCTGCTATTATTCTCACCGTCGTTGCTGTCGAATGCTCAGCTTGTTTCCTAGCATAATGTCGAGCTTTCGTACGAATGAGCGTCTGCTTGGCAAGCTCGTGGGCAGGTTCATCGAACCCCTCTGCGTCTCCCCCCGCCTTCGTTGGTAAGTCCTTCCACATATATCCTTCTAGCGTTCTACTGATAACCAGACAATCGGTCACCACAGTCTTTGCGAGCGTTTCAAGGGCTTCATGTGCGGAAAAGAGGTCTGTGATACATACAAGAGGTTGAACGGCCCGTTCGAGCGGCGGCTGCGATTCGAGGAGCTGGTTCGACAGAAGACGTAGGGTGACGATGAGGTGCTGGTGCTGACGAGACATTCGCTGGCGTGTACGTATTGCACTTGTAGCGTCTGCGTCGTATCTGATCATTTCACCGTGGAAGGCTAGAGCATGGTCTCTCGCCGACGTGAGCCCCCGGACAGGTATAAACGCTTGTAGCAGCGCCCGCTTTGTCTGCACACGTTTTACTACCAGTCCCATGGTTGAATTGAATTCAGATACCAAGGATCAAGCTCAGTTTGTGTCTATAATCCAGCTTGCGCATGGTCGATGTGCCTGCATGTATCGAGGGCAAGAGCTGCCGATTGCTGGTGAGGCAGTTTATGGTGGGCCGCAGTGCTCGCGACATGCCATGGATGGTATTGCATGTCCATCCAAGTCTGGCTGTCATGAGTACTTAGTAGATATGTTTGTAATATGGGGGGTAATTCGGATGGCAAGCTGAGGCACAAGTGCGCAATTGCAAGTACTTCGAACGCACGCTGTGCTCGCGGACTCGAAACGCCTATCGATGACGCCGCTTAAGCCTGCGTCCTGCTCTCTACTACATGCCCGTTTCCCTTCTCTCCGAAGAATGAGTTCACCTGTGGACGAACGAAGCACGTTCAACTAGGCGGGCTGCCAAGTCATGCTCTTGCCATCGAGCTCAATACGCGGTTCCCCAACGGTGCTATTTACATCGAAATATACGACGATGACCTCTCCATCGGGCCTACAACTCGGGACGGGCGCGAGGTTCCAGGGCTCAGCGCTCAGCAACTGCCGTCCGCAACATTCCGTTACTCTTGAAAGAGTCGGCGATAGCGGCGACGTGCCGATACAGGCGTTTATGTCCCTGCACCCCCTTTCGCATGTCCGTGCCGTCAGTGTGTGGCTCGAAGACGTCAAGGCGGAAGCAACCTGGCAAGCATTCTCGCAGCTGCCCAGAATCCGCGAGATCCAGGTCGGGTGTGACCAAGGCGCCGCGACCCTCTTCAGCTTCATGGAACGGAACCCTTTGGCGTTTCCCAAGCTGGAGTGGCTAGTTTTCTCCGATATCTGTTGGGATGAACCCCATCGGAGTTGGTGCAGGCGGCAAGTGAGGACCAGGCAGCGTTGTGCCGGTCAGTGACTGGTCAGTGACTGGTCACTCTGGTCAATGACTGGTCAATGACCGAGTCAGACATGACCGTGACTGGCCGGTTTTCCGGGTCCCACCTTGGCAGCCAACCATATCGCAGGGCGCCATCAGGCCCTGCCATTCCATTGGGGTCTGTCCCCCCAAGCGCTCGACCCCGGCATTTCGCTTGCGTGGGATCACGAAACCGCCCAGTCATTGACTGTAACTCGGTCATTGACCCATCAGTGACCAGCTGTCAGTCAATGACCGTGACTGGGATGACTCGGTCATTGACTGCCCAACGCTGGTCCCGGACTAGGTCTCTGATACCTCTCCTGATATCGCTGTTGGAATATCGCAAGGAGCACGGTTCGGGGCTGAAGAGACTCGACATTGATTTCGGCACCAATATCGGACCCAGGGACGAGTTCGACCGGGTCCTAGGAAAGCTGGGGGCGCTAGTCGAGGAGCTTGAGCATCATAGTAAGAGGTCGGAGGACTAGTTCGACACCTGCGTTGGTGATTCAGGCGATTCTGAGGAGTAGCTGTGAGCCTCTGACTTGGTATTGCCATGGGGTTTTGCAGTTGAGATGGACGGTGACGACGACAACGAACAAGTAGAGTACTGTACTTTTACGACCGTACCGGATGTCACACGTCACACCGCTTTTCCGCGGACACCGCCAATAATATTCTCTCGATTTATGGCGATTTTGGCGAGTTGTCGGAAAAACTCATTTTGGGCACTTTCATCCGGTATGGTCGTAAAAGTACAGTAACGAGTAGGAAATAGCGCGTGGATAATTCTAATGACCATGCTATACATTTAGTCTGCGCACACGAGCAAATGGTCAAGAGATTTTAAGATAACGCTGCGCCAAGACACGTCCATTCCACTTTATCCAGTTACTCCTTGCAGTCAAACAGCTGCAAGCCTGGTTCGTCTTCGTCATTATCTGGTCTGCTGCCCTCTTCTTCCTCTTCGCCCAAGTGCTGGTTCTGGTCCTCCTCCTCCGCTGATTCGTCTTCATCTTCGTCAACAGCCGCATCCTCCTCTTTGTCCTCCGTACACGAGTCACGCTCAGGCTCGACCTTCTCGTCTCCAAATCCATCGTATAAAAAGCTTATCCACAGCCGCCTTGAGACATGACAGGGCGCACTCGGCCCCGCCCGTCTCAAACACGTTATTTACAGCCGAGAGCGAGAGCATCTTGATCTCTTGTCACGCTGCTTCCGGAACTCGAGAATTCGGATAAGCTCCAGCATTAGGGAATGCAGGTGCGTCCTTCGCTTCCAACGTACAGCGTGGCGATTGTTCCACGCACAGCTGGTGAGATTGAGCCACTCGAGCGCTGGGAACGTCGTTAGGCCCATGGGGGCGGAGAAGAGCATGCGGGGCGTGGGCTCGTCGTCCAATGGGCGGAGAAAGGGCGCCAAAGAGCGGCGTGTGCCGCTAGGACGCTGGCGAGCGCGACGGCGTAGATTTCGGAGGAGGGGAGGTGGACGTCGTCGGAGCTTCCCCGCAGGGCCACGAAGAGAGAGGTGTCTTCGTTCAGACAGCGGAGCTCATTAAGCGAGGTCAGCTGTGGCCAAGACGTGCTGGAAAATGAGGGAAATGAGGAGTTTCCGTCAGAGGTTTGAATAGTGAGTTTCCGGAGCAACGACGCATCGTCGTGGAATACTTGAGGAGATCCTCGGCCAGGCTCTCAGCAATGTCTTTGATGTCGTACATGTCCGTGTACGCCATGTAGAACCGGCGGATCGAGAGCTCAGGGTCACTGCTTTACTTAGAAGTTCCTATCAGAGATCCTTCAAAGATTATATCAGTGATAGACCTACACGGTTTTGTGAGTGCGCTCACCTGAGGAGACCGGTCCATTTATTGATACTCTTGCACCACCGAAGAATTGACGGACATTCTGTAGCTGCGGGGGTGTTCATTCGAATCCGATTGCGCGTCTCTAGCAGTCTTGACTATACTGGCCTGATACTGTACATCAGGCAGTCAGCGTGCAACGAAACGGCATAGAGCGAGTTAGTGCAAGAACGGCTGAGTCGTACGACTTCTACCCAACACAGAGCTTGATCCAGACCATGCACATCAATCACAAATTAGGTTCAAGGAGCCACACGAAGAATCTGACAGTGGAAAGGATTAAATTATACGGAATTTCTGAAGTGCAAGATGTGACGGCGTACGTCTTCTGACGCTACGGTCTGTACATAAGCATGTACTAGTGCACTCTTCTGCTGAGCTTATGAAAGAGTGAATACTTTGGATCTGCAGCGTCTCGAGTTGACATACGTCAGAGACGTCTCGTACGGTGCTGCACGTACTTATGTAATAAGCGGCATATGCAGCGGAGAACCACATGCATGACCTAGATATATTACGAAGGCATCAGCTTAGCAACAGGGATGCCCTAAAGCGTGCGCACATACCACTCCATCCCTAGTTGATGTCTCAACGGCGGAGATATACAGCGAATTTAAGAAATCAGATTCAAAGGTGGACCAAGTATTCGTCGTTTCTGTGGTCTCGTTGATAGTCGATTGCATGAGTGAGAGGGCTGGCTAGAGAACGAAATTGAAACGACATCCGTTATAGCTCTAAAGACCTGGAGAGCTGATATCTCGTACTCGTCGTGGACACAACCGAAGTGCGGAGCGTTACTGACGCTTCCGGAATTTGAACAGGACCCCGTGCACCATCTACACCCTTGTTCTATTTTCCTCGAAGCCAGCTCGCACGAGCGCATGATGGAGGACACGAGCATATATACCACGACAAAGCACTGTACAGCAAAGCATAAGATACATATATGCGACTAGATACTGATTAGATAGCACGCGCAGACAGGCATACGAGATGCGCCAACGGAAGTGCATCAAACATCACAGTTCATCACTTTCGATAACAGTTCACTGCAATCCAGCCGGTCAGTAAATGCCAAGAGTACGAACAGTCAGGGAAACTCACGTTCAAGTGTTCACGGTCGCGGTGGAGGATACCGGCGCTCATCTCTTCCGTAGCCGCCCCTGGCATATGGAGGTGGAGATCTTGGCGGAGGCATCCTGCCCAATGGTGCGGGCTCTCGCCTGTCGTAGGGCGGATAACCCCTACTGTCAATGTAGTCGCGATCACGATCGCGAGCCGAAGGAGCAGGGCTCACACCCCGCGGAGGATATTCTCTCGCACCATCATAGTACGCGCCCGGAGGCCCCGGCGGTGGTGTACGCAATCGCGGCGGTGGCGGGTAGTCGCGCCCGGCATCGAGCGCACCTGGTGCAGGGGAATAGTATCCTGAACCGCCGTACGCATCGTCCCTGGCTCGCTTCACTGGCGGTCTGAGGTCGTCGACGGGTGCGTCGGCACGACGCGGGGGGCTGGGGCTGCGACCGCGAACCCGGCTGTAGCCGCCCGGGCTCGCGTCAACCGGCGGATAGCGAGCGCGTTCAAACCGATCACGATCCCGGTCATCAGGAGGGTACCCGTCGGAAAGACGTGCGCTCAGGGGACGAGGATCAAACGAGCGGGGAGGCTGTATATCACCAGGAGGCAGAAGGGATGACGAGGCAGGGAAACCACCAGATACTCGGCGCTCACGCTCCTCACGAGTCTCCCAGCTAGGTGGCGGCGGCGGCGGCGGCGGCGGTTCGCGACTAGCGAACCTTAGATCTCTGTCCCGGTCATAGTCACGGTCTCGATCCAGAACAGGGCCACGTTCGCGCTCCCAATCCCGCCTATCACGGTCCCAGTCATCGTAAGGCACACTTGGGGGAAGCCGGTCCTGTCCATAGCTCGGTGGTGGAACATCCCTACGGACCGCATCACCAGAATATGACTCACTCCAAGGCCTGTCACGATTAAACGGAGGTGGTGAACGACGGTATCCTGCCGGTGGTGCGCGATCACCAAAACGGGGAGGATCAACGTCCATAACATCCGAGCGACGGTCCCTGGACCTGTCGCGTTCATACCGATCGGGATACGATGCACGTTCCGGTGGACGAAGCTCGCCACGTCTAGGAGAGACAGTCTCTCCGCGAGGCTTGAAGCTACGCGGTGACGGATCATCACGCACCAGGGACAAGGGACGAGCTTTCGAAGGATAACTGAATCTTGGTGGCGAGCGATCCCTTGGGGGAGAGGCCCTCGTGAAACGATCATTGGTAAGAGGCCGGCCACGATCTTCAGGTCGCGAGAGTCGATCAGGAAGCGGACGTGTATCAGTAGTAGCAGACGGACGGGTATCTGAAGGCCGGATCGATACTGAAGTAGAGTCTGGAACTGGACGTGAAGGTGTGGAGTTCGAACTAGGTGCGGCAGCCGTACGATCATCCGGCGCAGGTCGATTTGCCGGAAGTAGATCACCAGGCCTGCTCAATCTGTCTTGGAGAGAAGGCTGACGGGCCGATCTATCGTCAGCAGGTGGCCGTGCACGGTCGTCTGCAGGACGAGGAGGCGCAGGGGCGGGGACAGATGTTGGAGCCTTAGTTGAATAATCGTCAGGACGGCGGCGTTCGTCAGCAGCTCTTAGAGGAGCAATTCCACGACGCTCGTCCACAGGTAGAGGCCGGGGTCGATCTGCAGCAGCAGGAGGCACTGTCGATCTTTCATCGGGTCGTGGAGGGCGGTCACCGGTTGCACCAGAGCTCGTCGTAGCCCGGGTAACGGGCGACAAAGGTGGCCCTCGCCTCGCATCGGCGGGCAGTGGCGGTCTTGCCGATGCATCGCCATTTGCACTCGATCGACTATCCTCAGGTGAAAGTGGCTGCACCTGCCTGTCGCTTGCTACAGGTGGAGGCGGACGTCTGTCGTCGCCAGGCCTAGCTGGGCGATCATTGGACATCACAGGACGGCGGTCGTCAGGAGAAACAGGCTTGAGTGCTCGTTCTTCGCTTACGGGGAGAGGGCGGCGATCGTCACCGGGAGGCCTTGACTGGCGCTCACGTTCATCGGGGCGCCCGTGGAAAGAGCGCTCGTCTGTCGATGGATGAGACACTCTGGAAGCTCCTGGGTGATCTTCGCCTGTAGGTCGGTGAAGACGAGACTCAAATGAACGTTCCTCAGTAAGGGGGCGGGGAGCATGCGGGTCGACAGGCGGTCCAAGTCGGCCGTCCAAGTCGGAAGTCTTCGAATCCCATTGACGCAGAGGGGCTCCAGGTCGACTCCCAGGCTCGTAGTGCCGGTCCTCCACGGGTGGTCTGCGATTGTCGCCATACCTGTACCGTTCATCCCGACGATCATCTCTGGCGTAGCGATTGCTGAAGTCGGTGCCTCTGCGATCCCGATCGCGCTCCCAGTCACGTTCGCGGTCTCTGTCGCGTTCGCGATCCCTATCTTTTTCACGGTCCATGTGACGTTGAGGGGGACGAGTGTCAGCGACACCATACCGAGAGTCGGGGCCTGGGCGTCCATTCGCACCATTCCTGTCTTCTTCGTATCTTCGAACATCACTCTGAGAGCCTGTAGCATTGCGTGAGATCCAGGTAGGGTCTCGAGCTCCTCGATAATCCTTGTTGTCGAAACTGGTGGACTTTGCGGAAAGCTCGCCGGAAGACTTGGTGCTGTACTGAGAGTCAATGGCCTTCTCGGTCGCAGATCTAGTGAGTCCAGATCGTAAACTGGAGGAGCCTGTCTCAGAATGCGCGGCCGCAAGAGGGGTGTTCAAACCAGGGGGGTCCATGTCCGTAGTTCTGCTTACTGATTCGATAGGGTCGCCCGGTACCAAGCTCTGAGAGAGGATTAGAATCCATCCACAGACTGGCCCATCAGAGCAAGTGTACAGCGATGCTTACAGAGGAAGGTCCATCCTGTTTCCTACTACCTCCCGAATCGCCGTTGGCAGCCTGACTTCCTGGAGAGGAACGGCGCCTGTCGGGCCTGTAGTCTGAGGACACTTGCTCTGGGTGAGATGGTACCTGAGACGCATGGTGTGGACCCAGATAGATGCTAGCTAGCGCAGTTGGACGAGGAACAGGCTGAAACAACTCATGCTGGCCAGCCTTGATGGTCTCCTTTAGCCGTTCAAGGATTTCGAGATCGTTCTGTCCAGGAGGTAAAGACTGTGCTGGGTAGAAGTGAGCTGGTGTTTGCGGCTGACTGAACATAGACCCCGGGGTAGAAGCAGGTATCGATGACATGTAGGTGTAGGGAAACGTTGAAAAGTTCGGTGTCATAGAGAAACCAGGAGAGATGTTAGTAGAATCCGTCACAGACGAGGCAACTGGAAATGGCAAGAGGCTGGCGTGCGTGTCGTCTGCAGTCATGAACGATCCCTCTGAGCCCTCTGTAAGCGTGGTGACAGTGCGTTCTCGGTTGATTACATTCCCACGGCCTTTTCTCTTCTTGTTTTGCCTTGTCGACATCCGGCGGTCCACTGAATTTGTGTCCTATTTGTGCCTCCAGCCTGCCATCAAAAGCGTGGTCGGCACCATGAAAATCGCCATATCTTTGCGCACTCACTAAGCGTGGAAGCTTTGGACGTTGTTCGGTGACCTACCGGCGACGAAGATGGTGGGGAAACTGCCAGAGATTGCAAGAGATGAGGGGAGAAAGCAAGCTGTCAGCCAAGCGTGCAAGGTCGGGCAGACAATCGTGCGACATAGCTCAGTCGTAACAGCTGACTGTGGGAAATTATTGTACTTACCGAATTAGTTTACTCTTATCGAATCGGCTTACTGCTGCAACGCTTTCAATGCGGGTCTTTACTCTTCAGCTGCAGTGCTGGGGTCTTGGACTTTACACCCAGCTTGTCTTTGTACAGGACTTCATACGTACTCAGCTCCTCGGACATGAATACTCTTCCCATATAATTTAATTTTCTTACTAGATCTCTCTGCTCTTACCTCTTGGCGAAGAGGTCTTCCCTGACGAGCGCATAAACCCACTTGTCCGATCGACATGGTGGTCCAAACGGAGAAGCGTCTCATCTGGCACCCCAGGCTGGACAACAAATTCTTGGTTGGAGGGAGCTCTCAAGTTACGCTGTACGAATGGGCTGCAGAGTCTTCCGAGATTAAGCATGTCACGTCCAAGCAAGATCTCAATCTCATGAAGGTAGAGTAGCCCTCGCACAGTTTCCAGACGATGCTCACGACCAGCATAGTGTGTTGCCTGGTCTCCTGACCCGGCGTTCGATGATTTGGTTGCTGTGGGGTTTGGAGGTGGAAAGGTCGATCTCATACGGCTGGAGACTACGAGGTCCGCGAGGAGCCAGGGGCTATCGAGTGGTCCGTCCGTTACCCTTCCAGTGCGCAACTCACGCTCGTGCAATGCCTTGGCATTTAACTCCGTCGACCCGAATTATCTTGCCGTCGGTTTAGACAAGGTTAGAGGTGACGCAAGTCTTGTCGTTTGGGACGTTGTTACCGCAAACCCAGCGTTGTCGGTCAAGTCGCCCACGCAACTAACGTTCAATTTGGCACCACCAGGATCTCTTCCTCGACCGCAGCCTATAATCCCGCGAGGTGACGTCGCACCGAGAACAGATCCCAGAGTGCTCCAGCAGCTCGCTTCAACGGAGGTGGTAACCTCGGTTTCGTTCCTGCCAAAGTCTACGCATCTACTACTCGCTGGAATATCGCACCGATGGCTCCGTCTGTTCGACCTTCGCAGTCCCACTCCCGGCGTGACCACTGCCGCCAGCAAGGTGCACGGTATTGCTACCGACCCCTTTGACCCCCACCGTATCGCCTGCTATGGCGATGGAGTCGCTACGATTTGGGATGCACGCCGCCTATCCCACCCGCTGCTTACGTTCACCGAGAAAGATGCGTCGGCGGACGGCGCCAGACCAAGACAGAGCGCAATATTAACTTGCGTAGAGTTCTCCCCCGTTCGACGCGGACTATTGGCCACGCTCGAGAAGGAAGCCAACCATGTTCGCTTCTGGGACCTACAGCAGGTCGAACTTCACGCTCATAGGACCCCGGACCGAAGTCGGTCGCGCGACTCGTCGCATTCTACCAGAGCGATTCGTATGTCATGGGTGAACCCTTCGAATATGCTGCCCTGGTCAAATCCCGGCAACACCCATGTCCCAGTTCCCCCGACGCCAGCTGACACCTCAAACTTACCATATCAACTTGTACTTTCTAACACACGCAGAAGTATGTGTCTTCTTATCCGGGAGATAGTCAGTCGCTAACTTGCAAGCAGCTGAAGGCTTCAATAAGACGCTAGGATCCTTTGCTTTCGTTCCATCCACAGGTTCATACCCGTTGACGTCAGATGTTATGGTCGTCAACCGCGAAGGCGATCTTGAGCTGTATGCAGTTCACGACACTCCTATACACAACCCCTGGAGCGCCCGCGGCGAACTCGCTCTGGGCATCGGTCGTTCATATGCGTTCATGCCTGCATTCCAGGAGTCCGAGCCGCCACTGGAGCCCTGGGAGATCGACGTCGCGGCGCCACCCCGGCAGCAGACCCCTCATTCTGTCGACAGGCAGCTCCTGCACGACGACATCTCTCCGCGCGGTCGAGGGCAGACAACGGCGCCGATGTTCGGCAAGGGCGACGAAGACGGCTTCCCGGCCCTCCCCTGCGAAGACACAGGCCAACCTCGCAGCGACACGGCCGCTGCCCATCCGCGCGTACAGCCCGGCGGCGCTGCGGCACATGCATTTCGAGCACGGAGTAGCTGCGAAGCGCGTGGCCAGCTCTCCTTCGCCTGCCCGCCAGGACTCTGTCCTCAAATTTGCTTCGGGCAAGTCGCAGAGCTCCGCTCGCAAGGCGAAAACCCCTGGGCTGCTTTGGGGAAAGTCGCCCGAGGTGACGATGCAGCATATCATTGAAGGAGATATCTCGATGATTATGCGAAGAAGAGTTACCCACGGATACGGGCTGTTATCGGTATGTGAAAAACATTGTACATGCATGAGCGTTCTGACTGTTGAGACCAGCCAATACACAACTACTCGTTGGTCGTTCAGGATGACCCACCAGATTCGGCGCTAAGCCAGGTGTGGCTCTGGATCCATCGTGAGTAGACCTCCCTTCTGTATACGCTGATATACCGTTAAGACTCTCCCACTGTCAATAGATATACAGTCTCTACTCTCTGCTCCACCCTCTGCGCTTGAGGGGTACAATTTTTCGTACCAAGGCGTAATCGGTGTTTGGGAAGGGTTTAGGTCGTCCCGTTCACATATGTCAGCACACCAAACGCCACGGATATCTCAGCGCGGCCTGATGCTTGACATTCCGCCCAATCCGGTATCGAACTTGCTCCTGGAACAGCATCATCCCCGTTCTCGGTCGCGACAAGGCGATGGTCGACGCCCCAAGGGTGGAGCAGACACGCCGCACGACGAATTCTCCAGCGCGGTTTCTACGCTGCTTTCTGAGAAGTTGCCGAACCACACCTCGTGGAAGCCCGCGGTGAACACGAACAAGCTTGCGCAGCGCCAGCTGGCCCTCTACATGTGCGCATGGAGCCTCGCAGAGGAAGACCTCTCGCACGCAGTCCGGCGCTGGGAGAAAGAGCACCGGCACACCCAGGCTGCGTGCTGGCTCGTCTTCACCAAGCAGTACCATGCTGCCGTCGAGGTGCTGATGCGGAGCAAAGGTACGCAAGCTGCTCCTTCACTATGGAACCGTTCTGACTAGCAGCGACAGACGAAGCGCACCACATGATGTCCGGCATGCTTGCCGCGCTCGCCGCTTTCGGTAGCTCGGGAGTGCGTAACGTCGAGCTGCGCGAAACCTGCGAGCGCCTCGTCGTCCGTCTCCAAGACCCGTACCTCCGCGCCATCCTCAGCCACTTGACCTCCACCGACGACTGGGATGAGGTCCTGGGAGAAGACCTTCTGCCTCTCCGGGAGCGACTGGCGATCGCCCTCCAGTTTCTTAACGACAAGGAGCTGACTGCCTATCTGCGGCGCGTGCTGGATCGCTGTATACACGATGGCGACATTGAAGGTTTGATCGTCAGCGGGCTAACCTCTCAAGGCATGGACATCCTGCAGACGTTTCTGGACGCTTCGGCAGACATTCAGACTGTCTCGTTGTTGACCTCCCTCAATCCGGCTAGAGCGCAGGAGGGTCGCACCGAGCGCTGGCTGGGCGCATATCGAGATCTTCTCGACGAATGGAAACTGTTCCATCACCGGTGTCAGTTCGACATCGACCGTGGACGCATCCTCAACGATGCGATCCAGAGCGGCGAGATACAACCGTTCAGGTTCACGCCGCCGCAGATGATCCTGCGGTGCAACTACTGCAACAAACACCTGACCCCGCCGCTCCCCAACAACCTGAGGGTGCGTGCAACTTCCCGTTATCGGCTTGGCACTGCTGATAAGGCGCGCAGGCGACCTCGTGCTCACATTGCGGGCGCTCTCTGCCACGGTGCTCGATATGCCTGATGACGCTGAGCATCGTGCACGATTCTGCGCGGAACGCAGAGCTCGCGCACGCACACGCAAAGGGTATGTCGTCATCCCCAGTATCGAGAAGCTTTTCGACGCTGATTGGCGCGGTGGGGCGGCGGCCCAGACACCATGGACGACGCGCTCGTCTTCTGCCAGACGTGCCGCCACGGCGGGCACGCCGCGCACATCCTCGAGTGGTTCGACGGCGAGGAGAACGGACAGCCCCACGAGACGTGCCCCGTCGCGAGCTGCCAGTGCCGGTGCGCAGAGGGCCTGTGAACCTGCTGCGGAAGTTGGCGGACACCGACAAAACCGAGCTGGGGCTGGCTTCCCGCCATGTTCGGTCGCGATGAAGCCGTTTGAAGCGAGATCGACGACATGGTGGGGCCCCTCTAAGGCCACTTGCGAGCAGTCCCGCCCGCGGGAACTGGCTTATCTCTTGTCGGGTTGGTACACGACTTCGGCTGTAGTCACCGTTCCTAGCTGGTATTACTGTACGAAATATCTGTACACCGAACACGTCGGCCGAAGCTGAATGAGAGTAGCCCCTGTGTACGAGCTAGAGAGAAAGCAGTGCAAAGCTTTTGTGTTTGAGCATGCGCAGTGTCTCGAGAGCCGAAATCGCCTTCAAATTCGGACGCGAAATTGACTAATCAGTCAAATTCCCGATCTCGACGGAGCTGCAGGCGGCCTTGTGGTCGTCCGGAGGCGGAAGTGGCGGTCCCTGAGCACGCTAATCCTCATGCGGGCGGCTGGGGCTGCAAGTGTGATAACTACCCCGCAGCCCCCGACGGGCACGCCTCACAATCTCTATCTGCTCTACCTCCACCATGGCTGCCAGTAGCCCCGTCTCCAAGTTTCAGGACCACCCGCAGGGTTCGCGGACGTTCGCTCGCCAGCACGAGCTGCCCAAGCTGCCCGTCCCGCCCCTCGAGGACACCTGCCAACGGTATCTCAGGGCCCTCGAGGGCCTGCAGGATCCGCGAGATCACGAAGACACAAAGCGGGCAGTAGAAGACTTTCTGAAGAACGACGGCCCCGGGATACAGGAGAAGCTCATTGAGTGGGCCCAGGACAAAGCCAGGTGCGTGTCTGCGGCACCACGTTGTCATGGATGGCGGTTGGGCTGATTCGCCGGATTTAAGCTACATCGAAGACTTTTGGTGCGTCGCACTTTCCCCGCACCGCGCTGCTTCTCGCTGATTCCAGTGCTTCGTTAGGTACGAATCGTATCTGTCGCATTCAGATCCTGTCGTGCTCGCCTTGAATCCGTTCTTTGTACTCGAGTGAGTGATGCCATCCTCGAACACAAGACCACTGCCGTTGACACCTTGCCCTGCCACAGAAATGATCCCACCCCAGACCGTGGCTCGCAGCTGCCCCGGGCAGCTTCTCTGATTCTGTCATCGCTTGGGTTCATCCATGATCTTCGGGCTGGGATGCTCGAGCCGGACTCCGTGCGTGGCGTGCCCCTCGACATGGATCAGTACACCCGGCTCTTTGGCACAGCGCGGCTACCCACAGAAGTGAGCATCTTCCACCCGGAGTGTTACGACCGTACTGACCAATCTGCAGCGCGGGTGCAGAATGGAAACCTATCCCGAAGCCAGGCACATCGTTGTCCTCCGGCGAGGCCAGTTCTGTGCGTCCTTCCCTCTCTCACCCGTTGCTTCCCTGCCTCACACGGTGCTGCGCAGACTGGTTCGACGTCCTGGACGGAGAGAACCGGCCCGTGCTCACGGAGCGAGAGATCCTGCGGAACCTGCAGGCGATCGTTGCCGACGCTGACCAGCTGCCCGTGCACGAGGTCGCAAAAAACTCGATCGGCATCCTCTCGACAGAAAACCGCAAGATCTGGTCGTCCCTTCGCAAGGCCCTCATTCGCAATCGCAACAACGAGTCCTGCCTCGAGGTCATCGACAATGCGTTGTTTGTCGTCTGTCTCGACGACGCGACGCCGCACAACTTGGCCGAGCTCTGCAACAACTTCCTGTGTGGTACCTACAATTTGAAGGGCGGCGTGCAGATTGGAACGTGCACGAATCGGTGGTACGACAAGGTGCGTAATCTGATGTTATTGCGATGATTCTGCTGACATTGACAACTGCAGCTGCAAATCATCATCACTGCAGATGGTGCAGCGGGTATCAACTTTGAGCACACCGGCGTCGATGGACACACCGTGCTGCGATTCGCTGCAGATATCTTTACCGAAGGCCTGATGCTTCTGGCTCGATCCATCAACCCGTCCGCCCCGACGCTCTTCCACGCTCCCCTATCGCCCTACGCCAGGTCCTACAAGCCGCCTCGCGGACACCAGAAACAGCCACCGACGCCCAGCTACCTCATCGATACTGCACCCAAGAAGCTCGAGTGGACGCTCTACCCAGAGCTGCGCGCTGGCATCCGCTTCGCCGAGACACGCCTGAGCGACCTGATCTGCCAGAACGACTGCCAGGCGCTCGAGTTCAAGGGCTACGGCAAGGACTTCATCACGAGCCACGGCTTCAGCCCGGACGCGTTCGTGCAGATGGCCTTCCAGGCGGCGTACTACGGGCTCTACGGGCGCATCGAGTGCACGTACGAGCCCGCGATGACCAAGGCGTTCCTGCACGGCCGCACCGAGGCGATCCGCACCGTGCAGCCGCACAGCGTCGAGTTCGTCAAAACCTTCTTCTCCGACGCGAGCCCGCAGCAGAAGGCCGCGGCGTTGCGGAGCGCGTGCCAGGGGCACGTCCGGCTCACAAAGGAGTGCTCGCAGGGGCTCGGCCAGGATCGCCACCTGTACGCGCTCTACTGCCTCCTGCAGCGCGAGCGCGAGGCCACCGGGGCGCTCGACGACCGCCCGCTCTCGCCCGCGAGCAGCGACTCGGGCTACAGCGGCTCGGGCGGGGGCAGCGGGAGTGGCGGCGGATGCCACAAGGCGCCGCTGCCCGCGATCTTCACGGACCCGGGCTGGCAGCTGCTCGGGACGAGCATCCTGAGCACGAGCAACTGCGGGAACCCGGCGCTGCGCCTGTTCGGCTTCGGGCCCGTCGCCGCGGACGGGTACGGGATCGGGTACATCATCAAGGACGACGGGCTCTCGGTCTGCGCGTCCTCGAAGCACCTCCAGACCCGCCGCTTCCTCGACACCCTCCAGGGCTACCTCCAGGACGTCCAGCGCCTCCTCACGCAGCTCCACATGGCCGCGAACCCGCGCTCGGAGCCGTTCGTCGACCACGCCGGCGTCCTGCGCGACTCGAGGACCGGCCGGCCGATCAACGGCCGCGCGAGCCCGGAGGCGAAGGAGGAGGACGTCGCCGTCGACGACGGCGACTTCATGCGTGAGTACCGCCCGCCACGCTCCTTTTTTGCAGACGTACATTGCTGACGGGCCTAGCAGCCGGCTATTCCTTCTTCGACAGCGGCGACGTCGAGCTGCTCGGCCGGCGGAAGCGCGCGCCCGCGTACTACAACACTGGTTCGTTCTCTCGTCATTGTCGTGTCTTCCCACTTGCTCACTTGGTCGCTCAGGCAAAGTGATACCCTTGGCCGAGTATTGATGAAGTTGGCGACCATCAGCAAGCGATGTATTTGTATCTCAGGGAATTATATGAATGGAGGAAGCCCGTAATTGTATATTTGTAGCACAATGAGCTGTGTAATCTTGTACCGTCTTTTGAGCAATTGAGATAGCGTTGTACGCATGGTGTTAGGCGGAGAGCGACGGCACGGAAAAATAAACATTGTCCTGCGCAAAAGCTACGCAATACTACATAGACCTAGCATGATACAGGCGATGCATCGAGCGAAGCGGGACAAGTCAGAAATATTACCCAGACAAATAATGCATAAGTCAATAAAATTGTCCATACATTCGAGCCATTGGGGTATTCATATAATCATAGATCCAGTATTAATATGCATGAGCACCGCGAGGATAGAGAGCGTGCGCCAGCGAATCTGTTGATTCCCGAAGCTCGATGTACATTGACTGGTCTCGCCTTGGCTGTGGTGAACCGTTGAGACCAGAGGACTGGAGGAGCGGCGAGCGCGGGTTCACAACATTGACCGGGCGCGCCTATATAACATGCGTGAGCACAGCCGAGCATAATAGCGGGAGAAGGAAGCCACGCACAGCGGCGAAGTCTCGCATGGGCGGTGCGGCGTCCGAGCCAGGGGGTGAGACCGGCGTCATGAAGTCCGTTGTCCCCAGCGAGTATTCAGACTGGAAGACCGTCCGCGGCGTGTAGTCCGTCGGGCTATAGTTTTCCTCGGGCAGCGGGCCGTTACGCAGGGCGAACCTGTCCTGCGGGCCTGCAGTGGACGGCGCGCGGATATCGAGTACGCTCGGCAGTGTCGACCGGCGCTCGAGCACGTCATCGTCCGAAAGCGCCCGGACGTGGTTCTGTGAGACGGGAGGAGTGAGATCTGTACCGTCGAGGTTGAACTTGGCGTCGGCACTCCGCGGAACGACGTGCACGCGCTTGAAGTCCGGGCCCTTGATCGTCCCGCTCTGGTACTTCTTGTGCAGGGACATGTTGCTGAACTTCGCGGCCAGGGTATCGAAGAAAGACCGCTGCCGCGTCGAGTAGCGCGATTCAGTCGCCGATAGCAGCGAGGCTGTCGATTCCACACGCGAGTGTCCGCTTTCCGGCGAGCCCAGACCCGTCCGGCTGAGCTCGTCGACCAGCACGACATTATCGTCGATTTCCCACTGCGGCTCTCGACTGGGTCGGGACCGGACGGTAGAGTACTCAGGGAGCAATCCGAAGAAGCGACGGGGACCATGGAGGTGTGCATTTTGCCACGGCTTTTGCTTTCTTTGTCTGCCGACGGAGGCACCCCGATGTCGCCGACGATAGAAGTAGAAGAGAATTGCAGCAAGAAGAGCAACAACTACACCGACTATTATCGGTGTAGCTATTTGTATGGGATCCCACCCGCGAGCCTCTGTGAATCACCTAATCAGCACGGCGTACACATCGGTGTCATCCGACGCACCCTTCAATGCAGAGGCGAGGTCGAACTGTCCGTTCGCCAAGTTCGTGTAAGCCCACTTTGGCACATCGAGTGCACCCGTGTCATAAGGAATAGATGTTGGAGGCTCGGATGCATTGCATTGGTTCGTCTGTGCCCACAGCGCCCATGACTCGGGGGAATTCTGTTGGCAGACAACATCCGCCATGAAGATATTGTACACGGGTAAATTACTAAATCGAAGTTGTAAATACCGTAAAGCAGCACCTCACTGAGCACATACCATTTGCATGCGGGGGCAGACAGTGTACCAACTATCAAACGACCAAGTCAGTATCAATTATCGGTATGGTATGGAGATGCCCGCTGCTCAAGTATGATGAATAGCTTCCAAAGTGGCGTGGGGAAATCGTGTACAAGGACATGGTCTCGACCAAAGCAGGAACGCAGCAGAGTGCAACCTTCTCTGATGTACTAGACTGAGGAGTGCCCGAAAGAAGGGTATAGGTAGGCAGTCCGGAACATTCCTTGGGCACTGGCAAACGGTAACTTGCAGCGTGTCGGACACGCTATCTCGACAAGATGAGAACCGTAATTAACAGAGATTACACACCTGCTTGCAAGCACGGCTCCTGCAATTGATCATACACAACCCCCGGAGATTGACCGTTGACATTCAGCTACAGGTTGGAAGATTAAGTGAGATGGCACTAGATATCAAACGATGCGAAGAAGGCTCACATCTTCCACGTCCCCAGCGCATGGTGTTGTTGCATCCTGGGGGGCGGCCGGCAGCCATGTGTGAGTCCCGGGATAGGCCAGGGATTCTAAGCGAAGCGTACCCGGTGGTAAACCCCTCGATTTGCTCGGACGATGTTCGCAGCAGTCAGAAGAAGGATTTCGAAGGGCAATTGTTTCATTCCAGAACGAGGCTGCTCGTCGTCGTGGACGTTGAGGACTCTCCTCGTCGGAGGATTCTGCTGTGCACAGGCCGAAGGCGTGGAAAATATTTGCTATATCAGGGTAGTCTCAAGCGCTAGAATGTGTTGCAGCCGTAGGCGGGGTTACCGGTTCACTGCCTGCTTCAGAGGGGGGCAGAAAGCGGAGGGAGCAGTAGGTGAGTAGGATGAGAGGACAAGCCACAAAGCTGTTTTTTTCTCAATAATTTATCACTGGAAATGTTCACGAAACAGTCAGTCAGGATCAAGTCTTGTTGATATCACGCACAGACGGCGGGCTAAGACCATCTCCCGAGTCCAGCGCGGCCAACCACATCACTGTTAGAGAAGCTCCGCGGGCAGTGCGCACTGCGCAGGTTTGTCGTTTACAGTGCTGGCTCTGCCAGGCACAGGAGCTCGTTCTCAGTGAGACATGCTATAATGCTGACTAGCCGGAGACGACCATCTCGCAGAGCTGGTCTTTTGTTTTCTTTCAGTCCATGAACTAATGTAGTCATGGATTGAGCAGGGACGTGCTTGGGTGAATGAAGACAGCCGGTGAAACAAGGACGTTAGCTCAGGAGAGCTCGCCCCGCGCTCCCGAGCTTCTGTCTCGCCCCTGCCAACTCAACGCCTATCAGCAGCATGCAGCTTGCGGCGATCTTACCTAACCAAATGTCGAAATTGTCGTAATCTTCTAGGTAGTAGTACCCTCGTCGCTGACGTCGTCGCTTCTGTTTTCTCCGCTGAAGCTCAGCCGGCTCGTCGTGTCGGTCGGTGTTCAGCCGAGAAGTCGCAGTGACGTCGTCGAGCAACCCTACGGGATTATCTGCCCTTGAAAGTGCACAAGAATTATGAAACAAAGGGCAAGGCAGGGCTGAGACTTTTGTTGCATTTATGTGTTTGATCCTGAACGTGTCTTGCTGAATAGATTCGGGCTGACATGGCGTGCGACACCGACCTCTGGCATGGGAAGACTCATGGGAAAGCTAGGCCCGTGCACCATTGACCACTACCGCTCTGTGATCCTCCGAAAGGACCCCTTGACGTACGCGAGAGTCGAAGGGCGATCCGCCCTGTTTCTGGATCAATCCCGCAAGAATCAGCAAAGTTCGCACTCCCCGCCCGATACTCAGTTCCCATTACTTCCAGCCAAAGATGCCAACTGGAGTTTTCGCATGGCGTATACCCGCAAGACCTGCCGCAAAAAGTCATCACAGTCTTTATCACTAGATGTGCGAAACGCTGGCTTTGGTGGAGCCGTTGACTGGTTCATCCGCAGGTGCTTCTTATTAACGTCTTCGAGCAGTCCTCGACCCGACTCGCCGAACAGAACATGGTACATTGTCATACCTACTATGCTACGAGCTCTACCAGACCCACGCTCAACCCGCATGGTGCCCTATCTGAATCGCTGTCAGTCTCCGGTGCGTGCACTCGCTCCCTCGAGAGCATCCGGAAGCTTCCTCGCCCCCGCGACATTTCGCCGTTGCTTCGCTTCTAATCATGCCGAGCATTTGTCGCGGACCATTTAGCTGCGCGACAGGCTCACCTTCGTCTCCTCTACCCATCCTTTCTTGTCTCCCCACCGTCTTCTAAACCTTCGCCATGGGTGGACCAGCCGCTGTAACTGCAACCGGTGGACAGCAGGCCTTCGCCCATCTTGTTGATCCACGGCCATGGTGGAAGAACAGACGGTTGATCGCTCTGAACGCTTGGATCACATTGCTGTACGTTGCGGCCGCTACGTTCGGGGATATCAGTTGACCATTGATTGCCATGCAGGCTCATCACATCAACGACCAATGGCTACGACGGTGAGCATCCACTAGAACGTCCTCCGAGATACCTGCTGAGGCGCGTACGCTAGGGAGTATGATGAGTAAGCACACCGCTTTTTTGCAGATGGGAGTTCTCAATTGAACGGAAATATCAGATGGCCTCCAATCCCTTGCGCAATGGCGGAGCGCGTTCCACAACCCAACGCCGGGGATGGTAAACTTTCGTTTTTTGGGCAACCTACCCAGCTGCTTACTCAATGACTTGACCAGCTGGGCCTGCTCAACGCTATTCAGAATATTGGGTGTCTGGCCGCGTATCCTTTTGCACCCTATGTCTCCGATGGCTTTGGCCGACGGACAGCCGTCGCCCTTGGTGCATTCATCATGTGCGGAGCCACCATCCTGCAGACGGCATCGCAATCCGTCGGCATGTTCATCGGCGCAAGGTGGGAGACGTCCTGCTGTGATGCTGATGTATAGATGGCTAACAGATGCCTCGACAGATTTATGATTGGGTTTGGTCTCACTTTTGCGGCGTCGGCGGCTCCGGTGCTTGTCACTGAGCTGGCATACCCCTCCCAACGTGCACCCGTCACATCGCTGTACAACACTCTCTGGTAAGTCTTGACTCTTGCCTTCTGCACTGAGTGATGACTGAAGGCTGTCTCCCGCAGGTTCCTGGGAAGCATCGTGTAAGTGTTATAGCGCCTTATTTTACAATCCGATTCTCACTGCAAGGCGGTGAAGTGCTGCTTGGACTGTAAGACTACCATTATCCCTAGAACAGACATTGGCTGACGCTCAGCGTACCTGCAGACCTTCGGTACATTCCACATCCCGACCAGTTGGTCATGGAGGATACCATCTGCACTGCAAGCGCTTCCTTCCGTGCTTCAGATCTGCCTGATCTGGTTCGTGCCCGAGTCGCCCCGTTGGCTGTGTTCGAAGGGCAGGTACGCACCCTAAACCCAAGCTTGTCAGCATCTTCTCACCCGGCCGCACCCGTACAGAGAAGAAGAAGCCCTGAACATCCTCGCGTACTACCACGGGAACGGTGATCCGTAAGTGCACTCCGGTCCCACGCCTCCTGCTCGCACGCTCACCACGCCCATAGGCACCACCCGCTTGTCGAGTACGAGTACGATGAGATCCGTACGGCGCTCGCGCATGATCGTGAGGCAGCCCAGGTCGGCTGGCTTACTCTCTTCAAGACCCCGGGGAACCGGCGCCGGTTGAGGGTGATGATTGCTATCGCCTTCTTCTCGCAGTGGTCCGGAAACAACTTAATGTACGTTTGTTTCTGATGTGGCCCCTGGAGCTTGTGCTAACGGATGTTTTCCATAGCTCGTACTGTACGTGTGAAGAATTGAACCTTGAATCACCGTGCTTAACACGTCGTTTGGGTTCGTAGATCTCAACAAGACCCTGACAGCTATAGGCAGTAAGCAGATCATTTACTGTCCTTTCGGGTATACCCGCTTATCACCATCCCAGTTACCGACTCCACCACCCAACTGCTCATCGTATGTTTTCTCACCCCACGAATCTGATTTCCGCGAGAGTAATGATGGCTCGTAGAATGGCCTGCTCAACATCTTCAACTGGTTCGTTGCCATGGGCGGTGGTTTACTCTGTGACCGAGTCGGACGGCGGCCATTGTTCCTCATTTCTACTATTGGTGCGTAACCAAAAACCCTTGTGGGTCGCTGACAGCTGACCGGACTATAGGCATGTTTGTTTTCTACGTACTGCAGACGGCCTGCTTCGGACTATACTCCGAGCATGGCAATCTGGCTGCTGCGCATACCTTCATCGCGATGATCTGTACGTAGGTTTCACTGATCCTGCAGGAACATCGCTGACATAAGGGCCTCCATCGATAGTCTTGTTCTACGGCTTCTGTAAGTTATCTTGTACCGTTCGTTGCTGCTCACGGCTAACCATGCGTTTCAGATGATGCATGTGCTCTTTCTTTTCGACTGCCCCAAAGATACTAATGAGATATCCTATAGATTGCATATACACCCCTCATCGTCCTGTACGTCTCCGCATGAATCTTTCTATGATCGTATCTGACGCTCATACAGATACAATATCGAGATCCTGCCGTTCTCTATTCGTCAGAAGGGCTTCACGCTGTACAGCTTTGCTCTAACGCTTTCCTTGATCTTCAACCAGTACGCCCTACAATAATTACTTCGTGACATCTGCTGACTATTCAAACAGATATGTTAACCCCATTGCGCTTGACGCGTAAGTTAGCAAGATATCTATAGGTTGCGTCCGTACTGATGTGTTGAATAAAGCTTGGGCTGGAAGTACTACGTGAGTGCTAGTTCATAATGTTTCCGTCTTCGCTTGTTAAAGTCTATGTCCGCAGCTTGTGTACGACTGCTGGCTCCTCTTCGAGATAGTCTTCATCTATCTCTATCTCATTGAGACTAAGAACGTAAGTGGCGATACTTGCATCAATGCGCCGCACCTGCTAATCGCATCCGCTTTCAGCGTACCCTCGAAGAAACCGCTGCGTGAGTGATTCTTATCCTGGACTCCGTAATTCGCTTATCTCCTTTGCAGCATCTTCGACGGCGAGGAAGCCGTTGCAAGGCTCGCCGACGATGCCGCCCGCGAAGCCGGTATCTCCGATACACGCTCTGACAAGGATAAGTCTTCAGAATCTGGTCAAATCATAGAGGAAATAAAGATTTAACGGCGTCGAGGAACAATCTTGCACTGGCTATCTCACAACTTGCTCTCTGCTGAAGGACACATGCTTTGTCAATTCAATCTCACTGCCTGTGGTTTGCACACATATTTGTACATTACATGACCTTCGAAATTACCATGAATAAGATCTGGTCGTCGTCTTCAGGCTTGGAAAAGCATTACAGTGAAACCGATTTCGCCCACTTGCACGCTGGCGTTTATAATGAAGACGCCGTGCACTGAATGGCAACCTTTGCCACCGCACATTAAAGCTTGTGGAAGGAGACGAAGCGGCCGCCATTAACAATACTTCTTGCTATTACCGAGTAAATCAGGCGGCCTCCAGGGCGGAGGAGGAGTACGAAGATTTATCTGCGATGTTCGATCCGTACAGCTACTCCAGATGAGCCAGGCTTCGAGAAACGGGGAACGTCAGAAGAAACGTGTGCTGACTCCGAGTAGTGTACGATGAGAAACTCGTCCGAGTTTCTCACGTGTGTTTATAACAGGGGTCCTCTCAAATCTGTTTCACAGCTGTCATCAACATAATGTAGCAAACGCGTTATAAACGAGTGAGAAACGTGTTTGTCACATGTTAATAACACAAAACTATGTTATAAACTCTGGAACTTGATTACCAGCTTCAATTAACAGCTGCAAAAGCGTCCGGAGCTACCTGCTTGGTCGGGGGCACTATAGAGGGAATCTGCTGAGCTGGTGAGTTGGCCTGAGGGCATCAGAAAGCAGGTCGGCAAGGAACAGGGAATTCAGATCGATATCATCGTCGGGTGTGAGACCTTCCATCTGCGCAGCAGTGAGATAGACCTCTTCAGACTTCAGTATCGTCCTCGTCAGCAATGTTTAATTCATCTCCCGAGCCGTCCTTTCAGACCGTACTCTCCCCCGTTGTCTTCTGTCTAGTGTGAATGATTTCATGTATATCAACCCAGCAGACAGTCGAATGCGGGGGTGACGCTTCTTCAACCTTCCG